GACATTGAACGTCCTTTCAACATGCACACAACACATAGATCCAAGCTTGATCGATGATCGATGATCTATAGATCAATGATCGATAACGATTTATTTATGATGTTTTCCTCAAAGTATCCGGTTACTTGAAAAGAAAACAATTTCAGTCGAAAGGGTATCGCACATCCTTCTCACTTTCTGTAAAACAACATTCATGATTGATCGATAATCTATGGATCAGTGATCTAAAATTCTCAATCTAGGATTTTATCAGCAACTATTGCACGCATCAGGATGAAATAAATTTCACCATAAAATATAAAAAATGACTTTCGAAATTCGGTATGAATAGACCGTGATAATGTCTCTCCTTTATTGATAAGAAAAATGATTGAAAAATCCAATTATCCCACCGAAAATTCATCCATTTTGTTCTTTTAATTTCATTCATTTCCCAGCTAGACGAATCACAAATGGAAATGGACGTGACTGTCCCATTCGTTTTTACTTCTCATTGAGGAAAAAAAATAAAAGAAATTAGAAAGATCCAGAGCAAAAAGAAGGGCGAAAGAAGCCGTCGGTGTGGCCAGTCCGGGTGGACGATCCATATATACACACACTCGTCTTCGTTTCAAATTAGTTCCTGTGCTGGAGCTCACGAAAGAAAGCGAGAGGACCAACAAAAGAACAAGGGGAGAATGGAGATTAAAAAAACCAAGGGACAATGCTCGCGCGAGCGCAGCGGAGGCTACCGGCGTTTACAAAAGAATCCGCCCTCTTTTTTTTTGGCCAATATTTTTTTTCCGGTCGTCCTAATCACTAATTCTATCATTCGAATTTTTGAAAATTAAAATTTCAAGCTGGAGTGTCTCGCCGAATAAAGCCCAGAATGACATTGTTCTAGGGAATGGTGTAGAAATAGGGCGATTTACATGAAAGGAAAAATTGAGAAAATTGGAGGTTATGGCGGGAAATTGTGAATGTGTTTTCAAAAGAAAAAAAATGACGAAAAAATTGTGATTCTTTGACATCGCTAGGTTCGCTGGAATGCAATGGACATATAGGCAATTTCTATGAAACGAATTCTAGGTTATGATGTGCAATTTAATTCTCTTCTTTTGGTGGAGAAAAATGAAACGAAAAATGTAATTCATCGGCGGCAACTCGCGGGCCATTGGAATGCTTCTCCTTCGGTTCTATCGAATCCAATGAAAATAAATACAATTTTCATGAAGCGAAAAAACGCGAAACGGTAAATTAGAGCGAGAAACTTAATTTTTTTTCGCGGAAAAAATGAAAATAGAATTTATTGTCATCGTCTCGTAGTCTAATGTCTCCTTCTGATTTATTGAACCGAACGAAAATAAAGGCAATTTTTGGGAAACGACAAAATTGACGAACTTTAAGTTATGGCGGGAAATTTAATTTCTTCTTTTGGTGGAGAAAAATAAAACGAAAAATGAAATTCACCCTTGGAATGCTTCACCTTCGGTTCTATCGAATCCAATGAGAATAAATACAATTTTCATGAAGCGAAAAAAAAACGCCAAATGTTAAGTTAGACAGATAAACTTGATTTGTTTTTCTCCGAAAAAAATAAAAATAGAATTTATTGTCATCGTCTCGTAGTCGAATAACGTCTCCCTCCGATCTACTGACCCCGACGAGAATAAAGGCGGTTCCCATGAACCGAAATAACCCCAAAATTCAGGTTCCGGCGGGAAATTCAATTTTTTAAAGCAATAAAAAATAGTAAAAAAAAAGAATCTCTCGGCATCGCCTTTGCCTCGAAGGTTTTGCCATGGGTTTCGCCTTCTTAAGTCAGTATCGCAAAGCCAAGATGGCCGATTGCGGTAGAAGGGCCCCTACGGTAAATAAGCGACTGTCATCTGACGCCCGCAAAAACCAGATACACCGAAGTAGAAGAGAGAGATGGATATAAACACAAGGAGGAGTATCAGGACTGGTATTCCCTCTACTTCTCTCCCACCTCCACCCCCTCTGCCCCCTTGATGTTTCGTTCCTCCTTGGCAATTCGAATTTTCCTATAATTTCTTCCTCTTCTAATTCTCTCCTTCGTCCCTTGAACGTTAACCATTATATATCTGTACTTCGTAAAATTCTACTCACCCCCTCCCTCCCTCCCGCGCCCCCTTGTCCCACTCACTCCGGAGCCAATACCAATTTATCTGTTTCTCTCTTCTCCTCTTCGTTGAGAGTCTAAAGATTAATTACAAAAAATTCCCCCACACGACACGAATTGAAAGCGTCGTTCCACGAACAGTTTCTACTGTTCGATTTTATATATGTACACATATCCTTGGAGATTTTATTTATCGGTTCTAGTTAGGGATTGGGATTGTTTTTGTTGCTTAAAAAATATGGCGCCTTCAGGGACCGAGGGAGGGGTATTTTTAATCGGGTTCAGAGTCGGATTTTTTGGGGAGAAAAAATGGGGGAGGGTGATAAGTGGGGGAAGTTTTTTGCAAGTTTTGGAAAAAGAAATTGAAATTTTTTAGTCCTGTTTTGAGAGGTGAAAAAACGGATTGTTACATTTTTCGGCATAACTCTTCAAATATTGATTTTACGAGGAATATGCACTGGACTCAAATTATGGAGCGAAAAATTCTCAACAAAAAATGCCTTCTGCTGTTTTTTTGTACCCCTAATCGTTGCAGAGATATTTTCACTTTAACATTTTTCAATTATGTTGAATAGAAAATTTGCTGCAACATTTTTCAAGAACTTTGAAATTGAACAAATAAAGAATAAAAGTATTGAATTTTATAGATTATGGAAGAATATTCTCCCTTCAAGTATTGCTTACATAAATCGCAAGTTGGTAATAATAATGAATAATGAAATTGATAATTAAAAGAAGGAAAACAATTTCGCTCGCGTTAATTGTAACTAATTAAAAACGTCCAGCAATGAAATTTCACAATGATACCTCGTATTTCCCTATGAAAGCGTCGAATCACAACGATCTACCCCACCGTGTAATTATTAATACAATCGTACAAGGTCTCAACAGAGATCTTCAAGTTAATGAGCTTCACTCAGGCTAATTACACGTCTGTCTGACTTCTATATTAATTGAATCCGCCATTTTTTAAATTATTTTCCCACAGGGAGTATTGCCGCGGTTTTATTAAAAATATTTGGATATCACCACTGAAATACCCAAATGTACAATAGCATCTTGACGAAAAAAAAAAAAAAAAAAANAAAAAAAAAAAAAAAAAAATACGAGAGCGAAATGTCAACATGCAAACAATTATGAATTTTCAATAATTTGCTCATAATGAGCCCCACATGACCTCCATAATCCTCATTCTGACCCTTGTGACAGCTCTCCGTTGTCCCTGAGGTTTCTTGTTTAAGGATATCCAAGTACTTTGACTACTTTTTCTCCGGTGAAATGCTTTTCTACTTTTGTAGTCGAGCCTTACAGCTTTCATTTGAGCCCCATTTGACCCCAAGTTTCCGGACATTTCACAAAGATTTTATTATTTAAACTTTGCAGGTCTGAATTTGAATCTTGATATTTCACTGTTAGAAAACATTATAAAAATCTGAAGAAATTTTAGAAAGTTTACTTTTGGAGGAAGATTGATGAAATAATTAAAAAGTTGCAATTTTTGAAAATTATGAGCCTTTTCTATAAATAATTTATAAACAATCAATTTTCTACCATAAAAATCATTTGTTCGGAATCGTAAAAAAATTATTCATATTCAGAATTTGACCATAAATCGATTTCATGCCTAAAAAAAGGTTTCCGAAAGTTTAAACAATTTTAATTATTTATATATAAACAACGAATGTTTAAAAAATAATAATTCTGTGCAAAATGAAATTTGAATGACACTGAATATTCATGATTTTTTTTCAAATTTTTGTCACGCAATTTGATTGACAAATTTGATGATTGAAAATAGTTGAATCTATAGTGTGGTCTGTACCAAACTGTAAAAGATACTTGGGTATCCTTGAAGCGTCGACTGTACCTCCGATTTTCCCATTTTTCCCCCTTTTTTAGGACTCGCGTAATCCTCACGGACGAATGACACTACTTTTCACCCATAATTTGTCGTGAACCCGCATTCGTGCCTCTAATCCTAACTGATAGCCCACCAGTTACCTCGATGCGCTTGTTAAACAGCTCGTCATTAACCTTCGAATTTGTCAAAATCAAGGGCGAGGAATAAAAATAACACGAGAGAATTCTAACATTCGAGGGCAATTTAATCCGATTAATTCATGAATTCGAGGAATTTTCGGTGGCATATGGCCACCCAGGGGCGTATGGTTGAACCCTAATTCGTCGATTATTTTCGAGTGACGAAATTTCAATTGCAAATTCGAGACATTAAATTTCATTCGTCTATTTTGCGATTAATTTCGCATTATGCGAGGTATTCTGAAGCGAGAGTAAATTGGTGTTCAAGGGATGGGGCAAAACGGCTTGTGAAAAAATTTGCCGGGATTTTGAAGGGATTTTTGAGAAGCTGTGCAAGATTATTTGAATAATCGCGAATATCTTCGTAATTATCATGATTAATGAAAAAAATGAAGAAACATTTTTCGTAGAGAAGTTTCCGCACTACAATTTGTGTCCGATGCATTTTCTTCGCAAATTAATATCCAACGAGTTCTGATGAAAAAACAAAGGTCAAGTTATTCAGACAGAAATTTTCCCTAATTGTTAATGCAATTTGCCCCCAGTATTTACACCGCGATTGGCGCGTTTAATTACGTCAAGTTTTAATAAAGTCCCCCAAGAGGCAACCATCGAGGGCACATGGGCGGCATGACGAAGACAGAGATTATTGAAGGATTAAATGAGTTAAGAATGACTCAACGATTTTCAATACAATGTGCAAGACCACACCTAGAGGAATCTAACGGAGTTGAGGAATAAGACGACACACTTCACCCCGACGTTCTTACACTATTGAGAACATGAGCAATGAATTGACAGGAATTTTCAATAAACATTTTTTATTAAATTTCTCCATTTGTTTGCTTTTCCCCCAGAAATAAATTATTTCAACCCCAATTGGCTTTTTTTTTTATTTTCAGTTTTTGTAATAAAGAGTTAACGAACTAGTGATAAAAAAATATTTTACTCTTTTTTTTTATGGGAGTCAGGAGGTTTGTTTTTTATGCGACTATTGGGGACTCGTCGTCCGGGGGGAATCAGCTGGGCACCAGTTCCGTTCCTGAAATGAGAGATAAATGATGGATTTTAGTATTTGATTAGATGGAATTATCGACACGTGCAATCAGACGTGTAAACAGAGAATCCAATGAGTCGTAACGACCTTTTCCTCTAATTACAATTTCAATGAAAAAATTACCGAGATAAAATGATTCTCATCTATTGAATCGAAGTAATTATTTCATAAGGTCAGTGTAGAAATCGCGGAACAATAAAAATCCAGAGTATTCCTGAGAAACCACTGCGATTAGCGTGAAAAAATCATGAAGCAGCAGAAGAATTGCCATCAGTGCATGCTCATTGCGAATCAAGTTGGAAATTGAGGATTTGTATTGCCTCACACCTCGGGAATAGATGAGAGCACGAAAAGGACTATTTACCATCGACACAAGTTTTGGGCCTCAGTGGACCAACAGACTATCGATGGACGACTATAAATTCTCAATACATCCGTTTAATATTTCGGTTCAACTGGGAAAATTATCCAACTAGACCAGGAATCAGTGAATATAGACTCTGATTGTTCCTACGCACTCAACTCATAATAATTACTGTTTTCTCTGGGTCGAGGTGCACACATCCTGAAAATGGCTCATACCATTGAAAAGCCAGGGAAAACTTCCGCTGAAAACCTCCACATGACGAGCCATTCCGCCCCATTATTTATCGAGTCACAACGAAAAATAATTTTTCGTCGAAAAAGTTGTTCTCAATATCTCCAAAAAACAATGGGACAAAATGGGGTGTTTTGTCTCCATTTCAATGGGAAAAAATGAGCTTTAGTGAAGGACGAAAAAATTGTTATTCAAAATTCATAACAAAATGGCTTAAATTAATTGTTTCTTTTTGTCTTTTTGAATGGCACGAGAACTGTTCCAATGACCCGAATTATGAAAAAAATGGAAATTCAAAGAAAACTAATTGGAAAATTCCCTTTGATTTTTTTAAAGGCACTTAAAAGTACATCAGGATGACAGGAAGTGAAATGAGCCGTCGGATTTGGATGAGAAAAAAAGGAGACACCTCGTCCACCCTTTGGAGTTAATTTTCAAACGGGGCCGGTGCCCGAGATGATACTGTGACAATTTTCAGGTCATTTGGCTCTCGGGGGCTCGACTTAAGTACTTTGGGTTCTCGTTTCCGCTTCGAATTATCATCTTTTCCATTCCGTCTCTCAGAAAAATCATTCCCTTTTATCATCTTCGGAAGATGCGGAAAAAAATACTAGCTCAATTTTCCCGTTGGTAAAAAAAAAAGACTTTTTATTTGTTTTTCGCATTTTTCAGTTTTATACTTTTAATTACAACTCCGTAAATTTTATTTTTCGAAAAAAATGTATCGCACACAAAATTTGCAGCGGGAAATTATCTACGAACCATGTCTTTTCACATTTTTTCCTAAATTCAAAATTTAATGAGATATCCTCGATTTTCTCAATTATTTTTTTTTCAATTCAATTGCTTTGTATTAAACTGATTCAATTTGAGAGATTTGTTTAAACTGAATGATGCAACTGATTGTTTATATTTCTTCAGGTTCTACCGTGGTTTCGAAGGTTGAAATTAGCATTATGAATTCATTATTTTTTATTCCATCCTCTAATTTCATACCCAAACACGAAATGGATGTGCAGTCGAAATTGGGTTGTAAAAATGAATTCCCCCTGGCACCTTCTGCATTTCTTTTGTCTCGAAGAGATGTTACCTTTGCTAACTTGATTGTTTGAGCATCTTTCTGACTATCCACCTGCGAGTGAACTTCAAGGATTTTTGCCCGTGAATAAGCTAACACGACAGATTAGATTCATTTCTTCAAAATGCAAAATTATTTAATCTTAATAAATTGAAGATATCTCGTTGAATAATGATTTTATAAAAAAATATGTGAATACACTTTTTACGCGAAACTCTCCGCTCCACATTTTGAGTTCTATACATTTTTCACGTAAATACAAAATTTATGGAGTTATGGGGGAAAATTTGAAATCAGAGCGCAAAACATTTAGAATATTTTAGAAATTTTAACTATACGAATATCTCTGTAATTTTCATAATTATGAAAAAATCTGATAAATGATTTTTTGTAGACAATTTCCCACTCTACATTTGGTATGCGATACTTTTTTCCATAGCTTCGACATCCACGGAGTTGAGCTAAAAAAATGTGGAAGAAAAATGTGAAAATTCTACGATTTCGTGGAGATTTTCAAAAGTTGATGGAATAAATAATAAAAAATAAAATTGAAGATGAGCAAAATTCTTCAGCCCTCGAAATGTCTACAGTTCCAGCTAAAACACATTAAATCCCGAACTCCTTTCCAAAAATGGCAAATAGCAGATATTTGATGGTTTAATACTGCCTGCATGCAAATTAGATGGAACCAAAGGTTTCGCCCGATTTTTGGGCGTGTGAAGGGAGATTCGCACTGCAGAGAAAACGACATAATGGTCGCAAACGCCAGCTATTCCCAAAAATTATTCTCTGAAACTCCCCTGAGACTTATACTTATTATTCCATTACTCAAAACGTAACAAAAGCATAAACACATTTTTTTCAACTTTCAGAAAACTCGTAAAACTTGGAATTTTACCACTGATTTTCTTCTCACTTCGGTTATTCATAAATTTTTCAATAATAATAAAATAATAATTTCAAACATTACGTAATGAAGAACAACTTAATGACTCAATAGTCTACTTTGGTAATTTTTCTTCTTCTAAAATTCATTTTATTGAGGAAAAATCTCTTTAAAAAAAGATTCAATTCCATTCACTACAAGACAGCCCGTTTTGCCCCACTATTGTGGCAAATATTGAAGAAAAACTTTTCGACGAAAAATTATTTTTCGTTGTGACTCGATAAATAATGGGGCGGAATGGCTCGTCATGTGGAGGTTTTCAGCGGAAGTTTTCCCTGGCTTTTCAATGCTATGAGCCATTTTCAGGATGTGTGCACCTTGACCCAGAGAAAACAGTAATTATTATGAGTTGAGTGCGTATGAAGAATCAGAGTCTATATTCACTGATTCCTGGTCTAGTTGGATAATTTTCCCAGTTGAACCGAAATAATAACGGATGTATTGAGAATTTATAGTCGTCCATCGATAGTCTGTTGGTCCACTGAGGCCCAAATCTTGTATCGATGGTAAATAGTCCTTTTCGTGCTCTCATCTATTCCCGACGTGTGAGGCAATACAAATCCTCAATTTCCAACTTGATTAGCAATGAGCACCCACTGATGGTAATTCTTCTGCTGCTTCATGATTTTTTCATGCTAATCGCAGTGGTTTCTCAGGAATACTCTGGATTTTTATTGTTCCGCAATTTCTACACTGACATTATGAAATAATTACATCGATTCAATAGATGAGAATCATTTTACTTCTGTAATTTTTAATTGACATTTCAATTGGATGGAAAAGTCGTTATGATCCATTGGATTTTCTATTTACACCTCTGATTACTTGTGTCGACATTTCTACGAATCGTAGATATATTATGCTGGTGAAAAATACCCGATTATTTCGCAGCTTTCGGGGTAACACTCCTGAGGATCTCCCGGTATTTTCAGTTTTTCCACTTCATCTATTGTCAGAAAAATTTCTGTTTTCCTTTCGACAATTTGTTTCCCACACTTGATATCATCACATGACCCTAAACCACCCAAATCCTCCGGAGGATCGGGTGGATCAGTCGCCGAGAATGGAACAAACTTTTCCAAGATGTTCATAAGTGATAAAACACGGAAAAAAAGAAAATTATCTGAATGGTCTCAGCGTGGCGAAAACTTTGGGTAGAACTTGAGTCTCGACAGCGGTGGTACTGTCACACCCTTCCAAGCGAGTATATCCCCGGATTATTAATGGTTTTCACCAACTGAGTTCATTAAAACATCCGACTCCACGTGGGGAGACTAGGCATTTCGAAAAAAATTCTTATACAACTCATTAAAGATCCATCTTCAATAAATCGATTGTTGCACTATTCCAGGCAAAACCCGGAGAAAAAAAATTTCTGGTTTACGGTAACAGTCTGGATTTCAGTAATATTACAGTAAATTGTTAAACAATGTGGTTGAATTCTCGGAAAAAAGATGTTGAGTTCGATTTCAGGATAAAATAAATGAGAAATATCGATTAAGCTTTTCACAAGGAACCAAAATAAAACAGATAACGAAACGCTAGAATCCCACACACAAACACAGGTTTTACTTATATCCTTACAAAAGACGAGATAACCGTAAGGTTTCACTGATGAACGTTCAATTTGATAAGAGTTGAATTAACAGAAAGTTCAATTTTCCAAAGATGATTNAAAAAAAAAAAAAAAAAAAAAAAAAAAAAAAAAAAAAAAAAAAAAAAAAACATTTAACCAGGTTTTTTTGATGAAGTTTTTTGACGAAGTTTTTCAGACGTGCTTCCTTCATGATATCCAAGCACTTTGGTTATTTTTGCTTCCGAATTGAAGCTTTGTAATCGTCCAAATTTACGGTTTAGATTTCTCGTTTTATGTCGACCCAGTATGATCCAAAAAGTCCGAAAATGCAATTTCTAGACCTCGTTCGTATTCACTTATTTGTGCGATAATTGCTTGAACAATAGCGATTTTCTGTCATTTTCAATACTCGTCTCAATGAAAAAATTAATAACCGCCGAACTGCGGCGAAAGGCAAACTCTAATTGGCGCCAAAATTTTTGACATTTTATTGACAATTGTTGGTGAAAATTTCAGATTAAAAAAAAATTGGTTTTTTTTGAAGGGTTTGAAGGGTCGTCTCATTTTGAAGGGTTTTTCGTGGGGCCAATTCGGAAGAAACAAATTTTTTGGACAAAATCTATAATCCTTATTCTTCAAATGCTCTATTTTCAAAATTTTTGTCTACTCACCATTTTTCAGGAAAAAAATGAGACGGAAATCTCCAGCATCGACATTTTTGTCCTGCTGATTTGGCGTGGATCTGCTCATATTCGGGTATTGAATTGCCAAAACGACAGGCAAATAGCAATCTGGTTGCGTCATTCATAAAAATTTATCGGACAAAAAATGTAGCTGTTTAACGAAAATAGTTATTCGGTTCTAGTTTTGCATTAAACAAAAATGAGAGCCGCAAATGAAATTGTTTGCTTTTCCAAAAAAAAAACAAATTCTCGGGAAAAACTGAATTCACGAAAAAATGCGCTCAAATCTTGCGACGGGAAAATTCCGGAATGTTGCCTAGAATGTTCGATACCGATCCAACCCCTTTATTCAATTGCCCCAGCCAGCCCCAGCGCCCATGCCACCCCATTCATCCCAAAATCGTAGCATATTTGTCAGATTTTTGTTCTCCGGCAAAACATGAAAGGAAAATAGATGAAGAGACGGTTGAGGACGGTTTTGTTCCTAAGTGGATTGGCTTCTTCCTCTAGTTTTTATACCCCTCTTTCTCAGTTAAACGCATCGAGAGAAGTGCCAGAATGACATACCCCAAAGTATCATCCGTTATTGGCCCATTCTTTATTACCATTTCTAACCCCTTTCGCTCGATTTTACTTTATGAGGAAATATCACTCTTCGAGGGAAAGTAAGAAAGTTATTCACATGTGGAAATCACTTACCCTTGAAACCTTTCTCGGGTGATGCTGCTTCACGACTTGTCGAGTCTGACTCCAAATCCACTTCATTGTCCGGTGGTGTATCAACCTGGAACAATGAAAATTACAGATTGAAGTTGAATAGCAGAAATTATAGAATAATTTCTCTCGAGTGAATACAAAAATGAAATTCTGAACTGTTTAAAGAGTTGAACATTTCATGATTTTTTTTTATTCTGGTACACGGAGAGAAATGTTCAATACAAATTACAAATGTGGTTTTAGAAAATTTTACGGAACTGTCACGGAATTTTTATCTGAATCTCTTGTGAAAAATTACGGTACCGTCACTTGAATTTTCTGAGCCGATTCCGTGATCGGTGAATGAATTGTCAGTTCCGTAATTTTTACTGAACATTTCTCTCCGCGTGTTCGATAATTCCTGTTAAAGTATGGAATTATTAGTAATGGAAACATTAGAAGTTTAAATTTCCAAACAATTCTTTTTCATTTTTCTTTATTAATATTGCATTTAAAGGTTGTCTTCGAACAAGATTGATTAGAATTAATTAGAATTAGCTAGTCAACAAGCATTCAATTCCAGCGTTAATAAAAATCCTGACGAAATGGCAAAAATAGAAAAATATTCAATAAAAATTACGTATCTTTTCCGTAATTTCAGAGCGAAATGTGGTTGTAGGAAATTTTACAGAACTGTCACGGAATTTTTATCTGAATCTCTTGTGAAAAATTACGATACCGTCACTTGAATTTTCTGAGCCGATTCCGTGATCGGTGAATGAATTGTCAGTTCCGTAATTTTTACTGAACATTTCTCTCCGCGTGTTCGATAATTCCTGTTAAAGTATGGAAACATTAGAAGTTTAAATTTCCAAACAATTCTTTTTCATTTTTCTTTATTAATATTGCATTTAAAGGTTGTCTTCGAACAAGATTGATTAGAATTAATTAGAATTAGCTAGTCAACAAGCATTCAATTCCAGCGTTAATAAAAATCCTGACGAAATGGCAAAAATAGAAAAATATTCAATAAAAATTACGTATCTTTTCCGTAATTTCAGAGCGAAATGTGGTTGTAGGAAATTTTACAGAACTGTCACGGAATTTTTATCTGAATCTCTTGTGAAAAATTACGATACCGTCACTTGAATTTTCTGAGTCGATTCCGTAATCGGTGAGTGAATTCAGTAGCGAAGCGGTAAACCGGGTTAAGTCGATTTTGACTTTTGGCCATTTTTTGACAAATATCTCGGAATCTAAGAGAGATAGCAAAATTTTGCTCATTACCTTTTTTATAACCCTCAGTTGGCTCTATAAAAAAGGTCATTACAAAAAATTTTCTATCTCTTTTAGATTCCCAGATATTCGTCAAAAACTGGCCAATAGTCAAAATCGACTTAACCCGGTTTACCGCTTCGCTACTGAATTGTGAGTTCCGTAATTTTTACTGAACATTTCTCTCCGCGTGTTCGATCATTCCTGTTAAATTATAGAAACATTAGAAGTTTAACATTCCAAATAATTCTTTTTCATTTCTTTCTAAAAAATGCATGGTAATATCACGAGTCGAAAATGAGAATCGTAATTTTCCAAATCATTTAATATTGCGTTTAAAGGTTGTCTTCGAACAAAATTGATTAGAATGAATTAAAATTAACTACTCAACAAGCATTAAATTCCAGCGTTAATAAAAATCCTGATGAAATGGCAAAAATAGAGACCAAATCATTTGTTCTTTAATGCTCCATTAATTCGCTACATATGAAGTACCAATGATGTTTATTTTTCATCCGTCGACAGTGGCATTTGGTACGAATACCCCGGAGAAACGTAGGGGAGTCAACTTATAACGAAAGGAAACAACACGTGTGAACGGCTGCCGACGGACAGCGAAATAGTGAGGTCACGTCTTCCCACGCTAGTGTTTTCTCGTCATGAGTGACACACATATGTAATTCAAATACATGTCCCCCCCCCCCAATGTGAATTCAGTTTTAATGCCATTTTCTCCGTAACTGAATTCCTCGGACAGTTACAAAGTAGAGTCGGGTAAAACGGACCGTCTTACCCGCAAAAAAATGGAAAAATAGCTCGAACCCATTAAAAATAGGATAAACCGTTTTAAATATGTACCTGAGAATGAATGATGGAGAGGATCAATCATCAATTAAATTCACCTTGTGTAATTACAAGGTCATTGACACCTGAGAGCGTCCATTCGCTACTGAATTTCTCGGCTACAAGCGTTCACCAGCGATTCCCCGCGCCTCGTCTTCATTAATGATCCCTGACCCGGCGTTTTGAAGAAAAAAGTAAACGAAAAAAAAAAAAAAAAGAGGCCAAGAGTGTAAAAAAGAGGAATAAAAAGTTGTAAAAAAAATCAAGGGGTTCCGGAGGGCCATAAAAACCACCGCCATAACTTCAGAAGAACCGTGATGTGTAGAGAACGTGAAAGTAAAATAAGTAAAAAAGGGTGCGTGGATGATTCTTTGTGTACTTGGAAAGATAAAGAGCTTAAATTGAGATGAGTACGAAATTGCATCATACTAGGGATTTTTTAAATTGCTGTATCTCGAGAATGGATCGATGGATTTTTGAATTTCCCGCGTCAATTTGACAATAATAAAGTGAATTTTGAAGAAAAGCTTAACGATTTTTTTAATTTACCGCGTGGTTTCTCTGTGATTTTTCACTTAAGCAAACGTGCCGAAGAAATGAAAACAATTGGCCTAAAATATCTAGGGAATTATTCGGAGATCAAACAATGAAAGCCATTTTAAAGAATAAAAAAAATCCCTAGAAAATACATAGCCGACCTTTTTCCCCTAGCCATCGGGGATTCCCCAAGAATTTGAATAAAACTAGAAACGCGATTAGAGGGGAACTGATCGGAATTACGGACGATAGACACATGTATCTTCCCCTCAATTATTTTTATTCAAACGAAATGCTCTTCGTTCATCGCACGTAGGTGTCATGACGCACTCTTGGAGATGAAGCGTCTTGAAAACTCCTTTTCCCATAGCTCTAAATATAGAAGTGTCATGGAATAACGACACGTGTGTCAGAACACTTCACATGTGGTTTTTAATAGCTCCTGTCTCCCCAGTTTCATTGAATTTTTCAAAATTCCTCATTTCATCGATAATCCGGGGCCTCCCCTGACCACAAACCCACGAGTCAATGGTAATTAATCGAGGAAATATTGTGAGAGCGTTTTGATAATTAAATTAAATTTTATAAACTGGAGTACAAGAGGTTTATTAACCCTGCGGTGTCACCGTATTAAGATGTGGTTTTGGGGGAGACTCCAACCCTTGGATGAGACAAATACCTCTGGAAACATCCTGAGAATAATTTAAGACGCTGGTGGAGACTTCAACCCTTCGAGACACTTTGAAATTAATAAAACGTGTCAGAACGTAGAATTCAATTCGGATGCATATTGCTAATTTATCAGCAAAAATAACTATACTATGTGCAATGCAAGAGTAATTTCCCACTTGTTTAATTTTTTTTTCCAGAAGTAAATAAAACATTGTCTGACTAATAATCTTCAGCCTCGAGGAATTAAAAATATTGTCCACCTGTACATGCGAAAATAGACTCTAAGTTTACTGGGAATCCCAGAAAAAATTTCAGACAAAAAGTCGAATTGGAAGAAATGACTAGGTCCCTCGGAGAAATTAGAGAATTTTTTAAATTTCCGTCTCATCTTCAATTAAAAAATTCGAAAAGAATTGAATTATCACGCTCAGGCACTAACAATTGTTCGAAAAATATTGGAAAATCACTGGTGCAGTCTTTTGCGCATACCGCAAGTAAATTCCCATAAAAATAAATGAAAACAATTTTTAGATTTTTTTTCTTCAAGAGAAGTACTCAACACAAGGCACTGAGAATTAAGACATTCTCTGACTAATAATTTTCAGCCTCGAGGTCTTAAAAATATTGTCCGTCCGCGCATGTGAAGATTGGCTGTAAATATGCCGGGAATTCCCCGAAAAAATCCCCCAAAAAATGGTGGAATAGGAGAAAATTACTAGAGCAATCGTAAATGCCTGGGGATTTTGAGGAGTTGATGGGGAATTTTTGGGACTTTAATTTCAAGGTTAGAGTGGACAATTGGTCTCCAGTGATGGTGCAGTGGCCGCGAGGTACCAACTTACGGGCCCTCTGGAGTCTACAATTATGAGCCATACCACGTCGGGAGTGGATGCTCATAACGAACTCACTATATTGCCAATGGGGGCCCCTACTTGAGGCATTTCAGAGCGTTTGAAGGGGGGGCCTACTAGGCGTCTTTTATATTTCAAGTTTTAAAAACGAGGGAATTCACCTCTTTCTTTCTCCCATCATCTATCCCCACTTCGATGGTACATTCTGAAGAGGTCCGGCGCACTAATGCCACTTTGGTTAACGCGTTCTTGAGGTGAGAGAAACTCGTTTACTCAGAATTTTATATCTTTTTTCGTGTTTTATGGTTTTTCATCGCTGGAAGGAGGATCACCTCTTTTAGGTTAGGTCACGTGTCGCGTGAGAATCATTCGTTCCGGCGGGAAAATTTGAATAAAATTAGGGTTTTGAGGGTTTAAGGTGTTTCGTCCGTCTCTCCGGGGGGTGAGATGAAAAAAAATCCACGAAAGAATAATTAAAGCATTCGTCGACTTAACTCGCAGGACTTATTCCGTTTTTCACTTGAATAAAAATATAGTTAATTTTTTTTTTACTCGAATCGTTTATAGAGAATACAATATATCGAATCGCTTTCCAATAACTCATCAATAACTCATTTTCGGAAAAAAAAATCGACGTATCACCCTTTACCGCTTTGCTACTGAATTTTTTTTTTTCAAAAATCGGAAAATCATTTTTTTATGATCACATAATTATTATTTTGGTTTGAATAAAAAATTGGGTCGCATTTTTTCTTTGAGATTGAGTCAATGTGGAGTTTCACTCGAAATGTTTTAGCTACACCGAAACCACATGTTCTAGCGCGGCTTAGAAGTCATAAAGACGTCCTTTGTGTTTACACCGGAAGCGTGGCTCGATTGGCATGAGTGTTATGTACTTGATTCCGTCGGC